ATATATATATATATATATATGTCACACACATGTCCCTAGGGACATGTATTAACCCTCAAACTACACAGGCATTTTCGGGCTCCACTGTCTGTGGTCAGCAGAGACTCACCAGGTCTTCCGCCAGAACACACATCCATGAACGACAAGGGGCAAGCAATCATGCCCACGCCGAGACTCGAACCCGCGACGCTTCCGACCGAGGCGCAGAGCCAGCACACGCTCTAGTCACCTCGGCTATTGTGTTGATACACTTACGGGCTGTGTATACACCCTACTTTACGCACATTTCCGAGACACGAAGCCCTATGATAGTCTTGGGAGGTCATCAGTATTATTTGCGAACAGCGAGTGCACTAGAATTCTGACGTTCTGCTGACAATCTGAGGTTCTCACACCTACAACGAAAACTGATTGTAGAACGGTATTTGTCGGCTGGACAGAAGGTTGTGCTGATATTGAAGAGAAGTATTGAACAAAGAAGAGATATATTGAAGAAACTCCTGTGCGGAAATGAAGTCTTTCGTACTTCAAATTATTGGAAATGTCGGATCATCTAACCAAAAAGGATATGTTCATTAACATGCAATAGAACTAACTGATAATGGTACCTATTATGAGTGTTTGTACGAAGTTCGTTATAAATAGAAGAAAACTGGATTAAAACTTTCTGAAATAAATGAATCTTCTGCACAAAAACGAACGAAGGAAGAAAAAACATAGGAAAGAAAGGAACGAAAAGAAAGAAAGAAGAAAGAAAGAAAAGAATGAAAAAAGAGGGAAAAGAAATAAAAAGAGGTGAAGAGAAAAGAAAAGAGAAGAAAGAGTGGAAATGACAATTATGAACATTGATGAACATTAATGGGAATGACCCAAAGTTTTAGAACATTAATGGCGTAAAGCGATTGCATAATCATGGCGAACATTAATGGCGTAAAGAAATTAAGAAGTTGCTAAAGAATTTCTTTTAAGCTTCGTTTTTTAACAAAATATTGATAACAAAGTATTTTGGCACTAAATTCTTCGCAAATTATTCGGAAGGCAGGCTTAAACAATGCCTTAATTTAATGGCGTTTGCGGTAAGTCGATGTCTCGTCACAAAATTTAACACGTGGACTGCAGCATTTTATAGGATAGAACTGCGATTGCTGAATATTCTTGATAGTTTTTTTGTATAAAAACTTGTTTTTTCACTGTTTTGTTCTGAGAAGCAGCTTTTGACATTTTACAAGAGCTTGTTAACACGAGTGTGGAAGCTTCAACAGAACTATAAATTGATTTATTACTTCATGTTGCATGGACGTTAATTGATATGGTCATTAGCTCCGATAATATAGTACATTCTCTATTCACGTGAGACGTTCTTTTGCCGCTAAATTGGGAAATTCGGTGCTGACTATCACAGTTTTCCATATCCAGGTATCTCCAACCAGCGGAGCAGTGCCACAGTCGGAACAAGCACTACGCTACTGATGGTTTCCCGAATGGGTGGTAGTGTAGGAAAATAAAACTGTGTGTAACTAAGAGGTGAGGAAAGGTTAAGGAACAGGAAGGAAAGATCGTGCGCGACCCGTGGCCCATTAGTTAGGGTACCGCTCTGGCATTCGCCTGGAGTTGGTCGGAGAAATCACGGAAAACTACTGACCAGAGCTGCTAGAATTCTCTTCCAGACAGCGAATTAATTCAACTTAGCTAACAAGAAAGTGTCGAAAATTCTGCCACCGCTGAACTCGAATCATAGACCTCCCTGTCAGAGGCACTGCCGTGATCAGTTGATGCCCTGAGCCACCAAAGCTGGGTGCCCCTAAAAACAGAATGAGTACAAAAGACATCATTCCGCTCCGAGTTAGTGTAGTCATTTTCCATGTTCGCGTGGAAGAAAGTCAATTCCTTCCCATGAAATACACTGGAAAAAGAGACTCATGGCATAAAGTGATGTCAGTGTCTGAGACAGGAAGATCGTATGATTCTAATCAGCTGGATCGAACTCAACGGCTATCTGGAGGAGAATTCCAGCGGCTGGTTGCCCTGATCAGTAGTTTTCCTTCGATTCTCCAAATGATTCCATGCCGAAGCAGAACCCTAATATACGAGCGCGCGAGTTTTCCTTTCCATTCCTTGTCCTATCCTCACCCCTTACACACACACTGACATGCACTGCAGTGCCACACATGCAGGGAGACCGGTCTGGTATTAAAACTTGTTTCGGCGGGGGCAGTGCCCCTCTGGTGGGAGATACCTGGATGCGGAAAAATCTGACGGGTAGGTCGGCGCCGGATCTAACAAACACCGCCACCGCCCGCGATATAGCATACACTACACTTACGGGACTAACGACTTTATTTATCTACGTATCTATAAATACACACACACATATATATGTATATATATTGAAACGAAGAACGTTTCTGTAATTAGAACAATTAAAATGATCACCAATTATAAATTAAAATAAAGTACTGGAGTTGATCAGCGCAGTAACGCCGCCGCCGCCACCAACGGTCAAATCGGGGGGGAAACGGCGAGGCGAGCGACGGTTAGTGGTGCGCGGAGAGGCCTCGAGTGAAGCACGGACGGGGCAGTGCTGCGTCCAAGAGATTTATTGTCGTTAAGTGCAGTTCGAACTGAGTGTGGCCGCTGAGTGTGGAACCAGGTTTGATAAGGATGAACAATCAGATGATTAGTGGAAGTAGAATTGTGCACCAGAACTGATAAAAACCAATAAGACAGGAAATCGTGTGGCCGGTGGGCTCGTGTCATAATCCCGCCCTGGTATAATATAACAGTGGGCAGTACTGTACGGACATCCGCGCAAAGTTGAGAAAGACTAGAACAGCCGACGAACATCAATCACGCGTCGTGCGTTCCAGTACCCGTGAGACATTGTTCACACCGGCTGGGGTGGACCCGGCGAATTCATCGACCGTTACGTTAGGCTAGAGGAGTTGGTCGCCGAAGGAGGGCGAATTCACGGCGGACTTCGGGGCGAACCGAAGATTGCCGAAGACACCGCCGCCGTTGCCACGACGGCCCCGGTCGCCTCTAGAGGAAGCAGGTGGTTTTTAAAACATCAAGGTAGCGTTGACCGTGCGCTTGTTTCCAAGGCCTGCGCATTGCGATTTGTTAATACTATTTGTAGAGTGTGTTCTCTGATCATTAAAATATTTAGATGTGCAAAAGAATTTATAACGATTATCTTCCTATGCTGCGCCAAATTTCTGGAGACCCATTCACGAAAATGTACCTGTCCCTTGCATAATTTATTTGTCGTGAAAGTACCGCTTCCCAGGTACGTCACAATATATATTGTAAAAATGTGTCTTTTTTAAGTCTTCGTTTTGTTTGTGCCTATTCTATCAATTACCAAGCCCAACTGAGATGCTGAACAAATCTATTTTAGGCACCTAAGATGCGTATTTTAGAATCTAAAAATTTGCGGTATGGAGGTAAGTCCTCATTTCTCACCTCCAACTTCGGGACGACATTTGCCATCATTACCGCCTCACGGTTGAAATACCCATTTTTGTTACAAAGATTGGCTAATGCTTCCCCTGGTGGCGGAATTTTCACCACTAGAGATCGTTGGGTGCCATCTTCAAGTACGGCTTTCACTCGATAGAGTGTGCTGAGGTAGTTCTCGCCGGACGCGAGAGCAGCGCTCACGGCCACCCTGAGAACTTTTAGGTGTTTGTCTTCGGCGGTTTGCAGGGCTTTCTGTATGAAAGACCCGTTGATCCATGATGGTACTGCTGGTTCGCTTGAGATGTTTTCTGCCGGCATTTAGGAGTGGTTTGCTGGATGTGCTCTGAAAGCAAAGGATAAAAGTAATGAATATATTTTCATCAATGTTTAGCTACTTGGCTGTCCGGGGGACGCCGTGACAGAAACACATTTTTAGCCCTGAGGAAGGTCGCAGAATTGTGGCCAAAAAATATTTCAACCTGTGTCACCCATACAGTGTCTCCCGGACAGTCAAGTAGCTACTGATTCCGGCCTAGGAAGTCTGCGGTTCTCATTACTCTTATATATGAAAATCCACTAACATTAAAGGCGCTACTAAGGCTCTCATTAGATGTTATCATTCGTCTCACGGTGACGAATTTTCGACGCTATACTGCGGGAAGTGAGAGTTTGGTATTGGCAGTTTGACGGCGTCTCTACGTTTCCTTGGCGACGGCATGCGCTGTACCAACCAAATTTCAGTTACGTCATTATCCGCCGATCCACGTTGAATTGTGTACATCGCCAGGTGCACGTCCAAAGGCACGATTCTGTTACGAGCGTGGGCCCAGTCTCGGACCCGAATGAAACATTTGCCCTGATAGATTTATAAACGACGAGTTGGATTTCCTATAATGCGTATATTTTCAAACAGGAAACTCATTTAACCAGATAGTTTCGCCAGAGCTCGGTTATACGCGCCAATAATGTGCATTGGGACGCTCGTAAGAAAAAAAGGAGAGTTTACTTTGAAAACATTAACTGTAAGTACCACGATTTTTTACCATAACGTGGCGTTGTTTTTTTAAAAAATTTACAGATCCTTCTCTCCTGTACGGTGAACAGTATATAGACACATTGGATGTGTAAATTAGAGAAACGCATATTTACAATGAATAATGTCGCAGTGTCGCCTCGCCGTTGAAGTGCCGTGAAATGCTGTAGCGAAGGCGGTAGACTTCACGCCCTGGTACGTTTGGCAACAGCGCACCCAGTGATCGGTATCTGTTAATCCCGAAATTCCATCTCCGGGAGTTAAGTTATAATTGACAATATATTGGCAGTATAGTTTGAATTTATCCGCTGTGTGTAAAAGTATTATAGTGTTTGGTTGCGGAACGTAATGTAGCTTCACTATAAAAATGTAGCTTCCCTATGTGCACGTTTTATTGTACTCTCCTTTTGCTTGTAATGGTAAGAGTAGAGGTAAGGGCCAGTTGCTGTTTTGTTAGCAATGCAGAAAAATCATACTTGCAATTCGTTTACCGATGCAAATAAATTTTCTATAACTCAGAAACGAAAATGACTATTTTTCAAATATTGCTAATATTGCGATTTTTAAAATTTATTTTTATTAATTTATGTTTAACTTTTTACTCATCTTTCAACTATTTATAGTTAAAAGACGGGAAATGATTCTGGAACTGAAGAAAACGTGCGCAGATAATATTTTCCCCCCTACGTCACATACAGTTTTTATTGTTTTTTTACTGAATAAATCAAAATCTAAATGTCTTTATAAGGCTCTTCGTGTGACTCCAGGCGCGAATTTGGTCTTATGTTAAAATTGACGGGCTGACAACTGTACAATTGATATCCACACTGACAAACTGAAACGTGGTTGCTGAACGATAACGTATGCATTACATTAGCATTGTATAACTTTAGACGCCAAGAACACAATAATACAGACGGAGTTACGAAGCGGTATGTGTCGCGCAATATTACTCGTTCACTTTACATTTGCAGACGGAGCGCTTGCGATCTGTTTACATGAGGTCACTGCCGTCTGAATAAAAATCTCACGGCTTCAGTAGATATTGATTCGTTAGATGGTGGTGAGCCGGATACAGGCAGGGAACGACAGGGTAGAAGCGGACAAGATCATAACTATTGTGTAATAGATTTATGCAAAGGAGAAATAAAATTTCCTCGGCTGGCGAGCGCATTGGTTAGATGCTGCCTGACGTCGGAACTATCCGTGCAGTCTTGGATGTGTGTTTAAATTTACATTTATTTAGATTGTTTTATTTATTTATTTATTTATTTATTTATTTATTTATTTATTTATTTATTTATTTATTTATTTAGTCAAAAACTGTATGTGACGTATGGGGGAGATCATCTGCGCACCTTTTCTTCAGTTCAGAATCCCATCCTACCATCCTTTATATCCTCATCTCTTGCTCACATACACGTACATGCACTACACTATCCCATAAGATGTGAAGACGAGTCTGGATCGTAGAGCTTGTTGTAGCTTGAGGTCTTCGTCGTCGGAGAATATACTTGTAGAGGAAAAGTCCCCGTCAGCCGTAGTTTAGGTAGGGACCGTTTCTCACCATTCAATCAGGAGGAACACCGCCACCTCCCGGGATTAAAAAAACACTTTACTTCGATAATTCTCCAGTGGTCGATGGCATTAGGTCATCTTTGCTCCTCCTGCCTTATAAAATGAATATTTTTAACAGGAAACCACGAGCCCTGCTGAGAAGGATACTCGTGAATTAATATAAAAAAAATAATACTTTTATAAGGCAGGAGGGGTAACAATGACCTAATGTCATCGTCCAATATATAAAAATAGAATAATAAACTAATGAGACTATTGACCATAGCAATTGTAGCCGGAAACGTTAAATCTCTCTAACAATCAACGTGTGGGAGGTGGCCAGACGTAGAAATGCCCTTGATCGATGCTGTAATGTCTCAACGTCTAGTAAATGCAAACATACCTGTCTGTCAGGATTGCAGCAGCACTCGTTAAATGCTGTGAATTCAAATTCACCCACTTAAATATAAACTGTTCAAGAAACTCAGCCTTGAATTGATAAGACAACTAGTGCAGCTGGTAACGATAAGTTGTGACACGTGTTTATTTCAAAACATGCATGTCATGAAAATATTCGGAGATGGATAGTTAAATGCATCTAGTAATTGATTGCGTCAGAGTGATTCGTGATTTTGTAAACTTAAAAATGTTCAAGAAAGAATCGTAGAAGTTATATAGGTATTGTGGTAAGTTTTCGTTGGCATTTCCAATGAAATAATTACATGCGTCGACATTGCCAACAATATTATTTATTAAAATAGCAGATATCGACATCGTTGTCGTTGTCGTAAAGTCGTTTTTGTGGCTTCCATACAGCAGAAAACTGATGATGATGGCTATGCCATCGAAAGCTGCTATTTTAATAAATAATATTGTTGGCAATGACGACGCATGTAATTATTTCGTAGAAGTTATCTTAAACGCGATTTGTCTAATAGTGGTGGTCTGTTTTACGTAAGGAGAATGATTGAAGAAAAAATGTATGTAAAATGTTATGTACGTCTTGAAACCATTAGCAAATCAAATAAACAGGATTGACAGTGCGAGTGTTTAATTCCATTGAAAGGGGAGGTTTTCAGATGTGTATTGGTAGCATTTTTTACCATGAAACTATTTGGAGAAATGTGAGTGCAGATGCCGAGTCATTATATTCACAACATTTGCATTGGGACAATCACCGCCTTGGCATCTTAATTTCTTGATAACAATAGTACGCTGATAACCATGAAGGATAGAAAGAATTCCACGAAGTCACCTGCAGACGATAGCTCCCGTTTATTCTCGAAAGCGTAATCTCAGCAAGTATTTACAAACGCAGGTCTGTGGTGGAGCATTCAAATTTGACCTTAACTCAACAAGCATGAAAATCAAAATGGATGTCTATAATTTGGCAAAATTCGTACAAATTACACATATTACTAAAGGATTATATTTAGAATGAAAATAAGTAACTAATTTCGTACTTTTAACTGGTAAATTGGGAGTGATTACTCATTTGACAATTTTTATAACAAATAATAATTCTATAAACAGCACTAACAACGTAATGTGTTTGGTTTAAAAAATCAGATTTGTTATATTGAATACTCAACTATTGCGAATCTTCTTGTTTGATTCTTGAATTAATGTATCTCTTGGATTAAAGTGCCCACTGCAAGTGTGTTTTCACCCGTTTTGTTGAGTTTATGTCACGACTTGAATGCTACATTACAAGTATACGTTTATTCATTTTCGAGGTAACGTTTTTGTGAATAAACAGGAGCTATCATCTCCAAATACCTTAGAAGCCTTCTTTCTGTTATTCGTGACCATATCGGGTTATCAACAAATTTAGTTGTTTGCTTGCTTACTTGAATAGTGATTCCGGGTGCTTCAACGGAGAAAGTCATTGTTCCCGTAAGTGTAGTGCATGTTTTATCGCTTGAGGTGGCGGTGATCTTTCCTCACTGGATTGCGAGATCCGGCGCCGATTTACCGTTAGCTAGCGAGCTTTTCCACACCAGGTATCTTCCACCAACCAGCGCAAGCTCTATACTCCCGACCGGTCTCCCGGCATGTGGGGCAGTCTAGTGCATGTGATTGGCTGTCGATTCCAATTTGGAATCCACGGGTCAATGTCAATCACTGTCATTCCTCGATTAATTCCTACAGCTGTAATACGATAATTATGAAATGTCGTGGAAACATATTAGTGCATTTATTAAAAATACTAATTAAAACCTCGAATATTTTTGTTTTTGCCACAAATGTACTTCAAACGACGACCACAAACAATGCAAAAGCGGAGGAGCCATCACCCTTTTTCTTCTGTACGTCATGTTACAATTATTATTAAATGTTATGTTATTAATTTTTAGGTTACTTATACTTAATAGTATTGTCACAATAAAATACATGTAGTTAACTTGGTGAATTAAAATCCGAAATATAAACATTGATATGATCGTAATGAGTACAATAATATTTTGAAGGTCTTTGATTGAAAAGCAATAACAGTAAAACACAATTTTATTTTACGCATTTTTACAAGTTTCTATGTTCGATATCTTAATTGTTAAATAAAACAATCAATTGCATACGGCATGGTTTGATGTCACGTGAGAATTTGTGAGTGTATCGTGAAAACAAAACAAAGCATAAACCTTCAATCCCTGCATCGATAACATGGTCTTCTGTCTTTTCTTGAAATCCAACGTCTTGTTCAAAAAAAGCTCAGAAAAGCAAGAAT